TCCGAAGTCAGACGCCTTATCCATTAGGCCACATGGTCTTCGATAACCTAGCCTGGACAGAGGCCAGATGATGTCAGCTGGAAGTCCTGGTGAAGTACCACCCTTATGACCAACATTAAAGTACAGTAGTATAGGCCTATTTAACACCATATACAGTTTACACAAGACAATTTTATTTCTTATATGAATGTTATTTATTTTAACTGCCATATTGCTAATAATAACAACTGTACTGCATTAAAACATTCACAGAAGGTTGGATATCCAGTCTTTAAGTGATGATGTATGAACCCAGCTTCCGGGTCCAAACTACTCTGCTTTTATTAAGGCTGTTGTGTTTTATCATGTTTAATGCTTTGTATCTTGTTCTATTTAATCTGAACAAGCCCCTTAAAAAAGGCAGTGATCACTGTGGGCCTCTCTCGGTTTATATTACCACTATTCATCGGCAGCACGTTTTATAGCTCAGTTTTTAAAACCTTACAATGTAGCTACAGCCCTTCTGTTACAGCTCTTGAGGTTGTGCCTCCTGTCTAAATCAGTCGGCGCAGCATGTCCAACAAATGTGACGTGAAACTGTGAATGAAAACAAAACTAAGGCTTTAAAGGGTATTTATGTTGGTTTTGCATCTTTAGTAGTCTCAGTTGATTGGAGGTCCAGAATAGATCCACTAGTCTTTGCTCAGTGAAATCCTGGAAAACAAAAACTGTTGTTTGACCAGTCTTCGTGCAGGTTGGTTAGCTCAGGTGGGTAGAGCATGGTGCTGAGACAGCCAAGGTCATGGGTTCAAGCCCCATACTGGCCACTAAAGTGCATGAGTGAGCTCAGGTATGTAGTAGCTGAGTTCACTTGAGCACATTTCTTATTACCAATTGGGCTTCATTAACAAGAAATAGCAAAAAAAGAAGTCAGAAATACTCCACATGAGTGCTTTTATACCTAACATGGGCTTTCCTAAAAACAATAACAGCAGTGTCAGGTGACAAGGAATATAAATGTCTGCTTCCACCTCTATCTGCACAGCTCATCAGCTGAACTCTACAGCTGGCTTCAGATCAGACGATTCAGGCCACGAGTCAGATAACTAGAA